CCACGAAAGCTTATGCTCTAATAAATTTGTTAGTCTCTAAGGTGCCACAAGTACTCCTGTCTTTTTGCGGATACAGACTAACACGGCTGCTACTCTGAATCCTTTCCCTCTGTGACTTGAGCTTGCTGCTTCTACAGTACTCTTTCTATACTGGGAGGCTAAGCCTCAGTAGTGAATCCATCTTTCATGACAACACAAGATCACTAGTCTGGCCCAGATGTTCATGAACATTTCAGTAAAAATTGTCTTCTGATTGTAGAAAAGTTTCCCCCCCTTTCATCCCTTCTTCAGTGGAATCATCTGATTTTGAGTGGTGGGATTCTCAAAAAAGGGACTTTAGTGTTTAGCTGCCATTCTAGGTACCTTAGTCCAAACATTTAGATTCTCATAACACTGATCATCTGCTGTCTAGCCTTGTAATCACATAGGAAGTTTAGGTGCCTAAATTTCTTCTAGTAAAGTCCCAAGCTGATTAAATTTCTGCTGGTGGCCATACATGCAGCCGCCTCAGTCCTGACACCACTGAGCAGCTTTGCACCTAATTCACACCTAAATCCCAGTTGGATTCACAAACTAGGTATTCCCAACCTATCTTGCCTGTGGGGCCTGATCCTATAGATGTACTTGTAGGCTGCCTTAGAACATGTTGACTAGACGGGGGGGCAGCCGCCCAGCTGGGAGTGGGGAGCTGGGGACAGCTGGGCTCTGGCTGCCCAGCTTTCTTGTCAATTTCATGGCTGCATGAAATTGACAGTCAATAGCTGATGGAAGTAACACAGTGTCTACACCAGTGGTTCTCAAACTATTGTGCTGGTGGCCCCTTTCACATAGCAAGCCTCTGAGTGTGACCCACCCCCCTTATAAATTAAAAACATTTGTTTATATATTTAGCACCATTATAAATGCTGGAGGCAAAGCAGGGTTTGGGGTGGAGGCTGACAGCTCGCGACCACCCCCCATGTAATAACCTTGCGACCCCCTGAGGGGTCCCAACCCCTAGTTTGAGAACCCCTGGTCTACACAGAGACTGTCGCCCCAATTACACTGACATAGGCGCTACGCCTCTTGTGGAGATGGAATTATGTCGGTGTAGTAGGGTACTTACATCTGTGGGACAAGGCTGTCGTGTGTACACTGACATAAGCTGCCTTATGTCAACCAAACTGTGTAGTGTAGACCAGGCCTAACTCACTTGGAGGGATGGGGCTTAAACCACACACCTCTTCTTGGCATTTCCTACTAGCTAGTCTATGTGGCTCCCCACTCAAAATGCTAGTTATGTGAATCCCCTTTTTTAGGGCGCTTTTCTTTTTATCATGTTTATTGCCAAAGTAGTTTGGGACTTCCCACCCTAAACACATTCATGGGAAGTTAAATCTCTAAATAGGTGAACTGTTCTTGTGGATCATGTTTTCTTTCTGTTATAACTTGCTTGGCAGGCAAACCTGAAACAAATTAGTAGCCAAATTACAGCCTAAATTAATTTTTAAAAAAAGTTGGGGAGTGGGGAAAGGAAGATCATTTTACCTACATAATACTTCCAGCTGAAGTTGTAGTGACTGAGACTCAATCACTGGAAATTCTCTGTCAGAGACAGTTCTCAGATATGGATTGCACTTGCTAAAATTCGTTAAACTTCAGTGTGATAATTAGGGTTTCTCTTTCTCTTTCTGTTAAATACACTACACTAGGGCAAAAATGTAATACTGCTCACCATAAGAATTCTTGTGATCTA